AAGATAAGTTATCCTTGATCCCAATATCTTCCATTGGTATAATTATAGAAGAATATCACATGCACTTCTTCAACATGGAAATGTGAAATACCGGATGAACCGCTGCTAAGTTGTAACACCCCAAAAATCTAATGACCTAAGCTAGAGCCTAACATGTAGTCTAGTGTCCTAAATGAGTTAAACGTAAAGATTAGAATCCTAAAATGACCTCCGTAAGTTAGTACTAATGTATTAAGACCTACACGTCAAGGTGAGACCCCTAAGGACCCCCCAAGGGTCCTTGAGAAGGACCCAAGGGAAGGCCCAAAAAGCTGTCAAAAAAACATGGACCTATAGGTAGGGCACCCACGAGCCATGGGTGGACCCATGACCCGTAGGTGAGGGTCGTGGGATGAGACTTAGTCTCCCAATTCTTCCCTTAATCATCCCCCTCTCTGAAGCAAATGACGTTTCACCAGCATGTGGTGTCACCCCACCTAAGGTCCGTAAGTGGGGGAGTCGTAGGTCACCCCTGGACTGCTTAGTCTCGGCAAACTATGGGGTAAATGGGTAAAATCCTAATTAATTAATTAGAGTTAGAGGATGGTTTTTATGGTTTTATAATATATATTTAAGGCTTTTAAGAATTATAACTACCCTTTAACCCCTCATAACTCACAAGACTCAAACATACCCAACTTCCCTCTCAAAATAGTCTCTCTAAGACTCCATTGAAGAGCAAGTTCAAGATTAGGGTTCAAGCTCCAATCTTTTCACTCAAATTTCGTGAGGAAAACATCAATCAAGGTATGGGAGTCTTGATTTATGGAAAGTTTCCTTTCATAAAGCCCTTCAACTCTAATTTCAAATTGATAGATTCTTCAATAAAACTAGGCTTTTCAATCTAGCCATGGGTTCTTCCTAAAAATGATTTCATTATGTTAAATGTCTATAATATGGATGATTTGATGTTTAATGGTGATTTTTATAGTAAAATTCCCCATGAACCCATGAATTACCCCATGACCCCAATTTCATGAATTGTGATGGGTGTATTGATGCAAGATGAATACTATGAATTGTGTCTATGATATTTTAGTTATTGAATCTTGTTTTATTCATGCCTAGTGTAGTATTTCTAGGTGAAATTGTGAAACATGATTCATGACCATTTAAGGGGTAAGTTGCTAGGGTTTGTACATGTTCATGAAAGTTGTGTATGAACTTATGATTCACTTAGAAAGTGAAGATCCTATGACTATTGTGTAAATTGAGGTATTGTTGAAAGGCCATTCATTCTTTGCCCTTACACTTGATTATGTATGAATTGTCTAGGATGATGATAATGTTGTTGTGTTGATTGAAAGTCTATTCTCATGAAACACTATGAACAAAAATGTGAAAGGCTTACTCACATGTTAATGTTGATTCTAAGGTTGAAAGTACATTCTCACTTTATTGAATCTATGAGCTATTTTATGAGTTGTATTGAATGAAGGGCAAAGTATTCCTTCACACATGTAAATGCAATTCAAGACTAATTATGTATAATTTGGGAAGCAATGCTTAGCATCGAGTGGGTATGGTCAATGAGGTAGAGGCCCTCCCGTCAATACAATAGGCAGGGTCATCTAGATTATTCTCATGAGATGGAAACTCCTCCGCCAATACAATAGGTCGGGTTTCTAGAAGCAATCTCCATATCCCATAACTATGTGCCCACATAGGACATTAGCTATTGGATCCACCTAAAAGCTAATACATGTAGTTCTACCTTAGGCAAGTAGGACACCTTCTTTCGGTGTGGGGTTAGATGACACTGGTCTATGTTGGCTATGGCTACTTTCCCCATATGATAAGATAATGAATAAGACATGAACTATACTATGACTTCTTGATGAGCTTTACTTAGTAGGAGTGGGGGTATAGAACTTCACTTTTACATTGCACAAGTAGACTCAGTAAGATGTTATGGGATGGTTTCTTTATGTTATGATGAGACATGAATGTATGAATGTATGTTGAATGGATAGTTGCTATGAATGACTTTCCTTATGTTCAAGTAATATACATGACTATTTCTTTATTTATGACCATTGATTATGATGAGGTCTAAAGATGATATGTATGACTAAAGTAGCTTCAAAGGAGTACTTAGTATGGTTGGCATCATGGAATACCAATCATACATTGCACAAGTGCTCCTTAGGGGTTGCTAAGGTAATGGTTTCACTATGTTATGAGCATAAATGTGATTATGGCTTATGTTGTACATCGAAAATGCATGTTGATTCCCAAACTTAACAAATGCATACTTTTCAACTAAAATATCTTTTTTATCACATTTCAAGGATTTTATGCATGCTTCCATACTTAGTACTTTATATGCTAACTTGTTTCTTCTACATTTACTATGAGTGTAGGTTCCGATCGTTAAGACGTACTTCTTCTTTCAAGAGAAGCTTAGGTTGACTATTCCCTAAGCTTGGTGAGTCCTCAAGTTCGAGGACAAGACAGTATTCATTTCTAGATTTTATTGTACTTTCTATTTTTGAGACTTTATTGATGTAAAGGGCTTTGAACCTATTTGTACTCTCTATTGTACAAGATGGTGATTGAGAAAAGGTCTAGACTCTTATTTTCGTTTATGAAATAGAAGTTGACTTTGATTGTAAAAGTTTTAAACTTTCCGCATCATTTTTATTTATTTATGTGTATGATTATGCTAAGGGCTTGTATGTCACTCATTCGGGGTCAAGCACACCGTGTTACGTCTAAGGGGTACCCCTGGGTCGTGACATAACTCTTGTGGTAGCTCTAACTCATAAGCTACATTGCCAATCCTTTTGGATATTCTGTAAGGGCCAATATACCGAGGACTAAGCTTCCCCTTCTTACCAAATCTCATAACACCCTTCATGGGTGATACTTTTAAATAGACCCAATCATCTACTTTAAACTCTAACTCTCTTCTCCTAACATCAGTGTAGGGTTTCTGACGATTCTGCGCTGTTTTCAACCTCTCTTGAATTACTTTCTCCTTCTCCATAGCTTGATGAACTAAATCTATTCATATCAACCCAGCTTCACCAACTTCAAACCATCCAATAGGAGATCTGCACCTTCTCCCATAAAGAGCTTCATAAGGAGCCATTTGGATGCTAGAGTGGTAACTATTGTTGTAAGCAAATTCAATAAGAGGCAGGTGATCATCCTAATTACCTTTGAAATCAACCACACAAGCCCTCAACATATCCTCTAAGGTTTGAATAGTGCGCTCTGCTTACCCATTTATCTGAGGATAAAAGGAGTACTTAAGTTCACCTTTGAACCCAAGCCCTTTTGGAATGACTTCCAAAACTATGCAGTAAATTGTGCACCTCAGTCTGAAATAATGGAGACGGGAACCTCATGAAGTCTTACCACCACTTGAATATACAACTTAGCATAATCTTCTGCTGAATGGGTACTTTTTACCGACAAAGAGTGGGTTGACTTTGTCATTCTCTCAACAATCACCCAAATAGAATCATGCTGCCTGCGAGACCTCGGCAAACTTGTGATGAAGTCCATGTTTATGATCTCCCACTTCCATTTCGGAAGTTCTATATTTTGAGCCAAACCACTGGGTCTTTGATGCTCTACTTTAACTTGTTGGCAATTCGGACACTTAGTAACAAACTTTGCAATGCTATTCTTCATACTACTCCACCAATAAACCTCTCTCAAATCGCGATACATCATTATGGAACCCGGATGAATGGAATATCTGGAGCTATGAACTTCCTCCATGATCCTCTCTTGGAGTTCATCCACCCTTGGTACACACAACCTACCTTGATACCTCAATACACCATCTCCCCCTTGTTCAAAGCCAATACTTTTTGCTTATGAACATTTGCCTTCAATTCAAGCAAAATAGGATCTTGGTCTTGCTTTTCCTTTACTTCTGACACTAATGAAGACTCAGCCCCATTCATCAACACTACTCCTCCTTCTATGGAATCCATTAGGCTAACTCCCAGGCGTGCAAGTCTGTGCACATCCTTTGCTAGTTCTTTCTTATCTTCCTCAAAATGGGTGATACTACCCATAGACAACCTACTCAAGGCATCAGCAACAACATTAGCCTTACCTGGGTGGTAAAGAATACTCATGTCATAATCCATGAGTAATTCTAACCATCTCTTTTGTCTGAGATTAAGCTCTTTCTGAGTAAACACCTATTGAAGACTCTTCTGATCAGTGAATACATCTACATGAACACCATATAAATAATGATGCCATATCTTCAAACAAAATACTACGGCAGCCAATTCTAGATCATGGGTTGGGTATTTCTTCTCGTAAACCTTCAACTATCTGGAGGCATAAGCTATAACTTTGCCATTTTGCATTAATACACAACCCAAATCAACTCTAGACGCATCACAATATACGACAAAAACCTTGAGTACCTTCTGGTAAGGTTAACACTGGGGCAATAGTCAACCTTTTTTCAATTCCTCAAAGTTTTTCTCACCAGCTTCAGACCATTGAAACTTCGCTGTTTTCTGAGTTAACTTGGTCAAAGGGGACGAAATATATAAGAACCCTCTAGGAACCTTATATAATAGCCAACCAAACCCAAGAAACTCCTAATATCAGTTGGAGATACAGATCTAGGCCAATTTTGCACTGCCTCAATTTTCTGAGTATCAACTTTAATTCCCTCTCCAGACACAATGTGGCATAAGAATGCCACAAACTCAAGCCAAAACTTGCACTTAGAGAACTTGGCAAACAACTCTCTACCTTTTAGAGTCTGGAGAACTATTCTGAGATGACTAGCATGATCTTATTCATTCATCGAATAGATTAGTATGTCATCAATGAAGACAATAACAAACATATCTAAATAAGGATTGAATACTCTATTCATAAGGTCCGTGAATGTTGCAGGAGCATTGGTCAAACCAAAGGACATGACCAGGAACTCATAATAGCCAAAGCACATAGCACTGGCGACGTCTTCGGCATAAATGCAAGGAATATGTATAGCTGATATAGGATCTTGTGGAACAGGATTTGATTCTGCAAGCAGTTCAGTACAAACGAAGAAATTTCGAACAAAAGGGTCGGAACTCGCTGATAGGAAAGGAGAGAAAAACAAAGCAATGCCAAGAGCTCCGTCAATCAGATGTTCATCGATAGATGAAGCTCTCTCTTTACCATCTCGTGCCAGATGCAACATCTTTTTTCCTTCTCGCGAACCACGGGAGAACCTAGCGCCCAGAAGAGCAAAGCTCATTTTCCTTTTATTCAATGCCTTGGAAGAAGAGGAGCGGCAAACAAAGAGAGCACTTGGCATTGGCTCATTTCATGCTACGATGTTGTCTCCCTATCTCTTGGTTGAAGCAGGGATGAGACCCTATAGTCTCTATCCAGTGCTCTTCTAGCTCGATATCAGTATAAGTATCAATCTCTTTCATTTCCTGTGTATGAGTGGAATTTTGAGTAATCGATGAGACTAGTAAGGATTCTCCAATAGGTATAACCCTTGTCTTTGTTCTTTTTTAAATGCTTGAGGGACTTCTTTCACTGCCAATGCTTCGGGTACTACTAGGCACAACATAGCGAGAAGGCATTTTGTAGACGTGGTTCGGTTATTCCTATTTGTCTCTATCTATTGGTGGGGAGGTATATGAAGGAAGGAATCAGTGGATTGAGGAATGAAAGCTCGAAGACAAAGAGAACCGGGCTTTTCCAAAGAATTACTGCAGCTTTCCCACTCCGTTTGATTATCATATACAAAAAGGTCTCTTCCACTTTCCTACCAAATCTCTCTCTATTCTGGCACATAAATGAAGGGATCGAAGAATTATGGCAGATCATGCTCACCAAGAAATGACCCGAAATTCGATCTTGGTCTATTTGAGATTGTTCTTTTTAATCGTAATCAAAGAAGTTTTCTTGTCTCTCTTTTTTTTTGAAAAAAAAAAAGAACCTAATGGATCGAACTCATATGTTGTACCTGGTCGTTTAAATCAGATCTCTATTTCGGTACAACGAGAAGGGGTTTACTATGGTCAGTGCAGTGAGGGTACTTGACCATAACGGATTCTGAATGTTGTCTTCGGAATGTCTCATTCCCTTACTCTTAACTGAAGGTAGCCTGATCTGAGGTCTATCTTAGATAAATATGTAGCACCCTGAAGCTGATAAAAAAGATCATCAATTCTCGGAAGAGGATACTTATTCTTGATGGTAACCTTGTTCAACTGGCGGTAATATATACACATCCTAAGGAACCATCTTTCTTCCTCACAAATAAGACCAGAGCGCCCCAAGGTGAGACACTTGGTCGAATAATGCCCTTATCAAGGAGATCTTTCAACTGATCGTTAAGCTCTTTCTACTCTGTTGGTGCCATTATATATGGCATAATAGATATAGGATGAGTATCCGGAAGAATATCTATACCGAAGTCTATCTCTCTCTCAAGAGGGACTCCGGGTAGATCATTTGAAAGACTTCTGGAAACTCTTTTACTAATAAAACTGACTGAATATGAGGTATCTCAACACTAGAGTCATAACTCGGAATAAGTGATAGACACACCGCTTAGAAACTAACTTTCTTGCCTTAAGGTACGAAATAAACAACCCTTAGGCACTGCTGAACTACGTTTCCACTCTAAGACTGGCTCATTTGGAAACTGAAACTTGACAACTCGAGTTCTACAGTTAATTGAGGCATAACAGGCATGAAGTCAGTCCATCCCAAGAATGACATCAAATTCTACCATGTCTAATTAGACTAAATTAGCCATGGTGTCCTTGTGATTGACGGAAATGACACAATCACGATATACTCGCTCAGCTAGAATGGACTCCCCAACAGGTGTAGAAACACAAAAGGGTTCACAGAGTTTCTCAAAAAGAACATCTAACTTATTTGCAACATAAGGAGTCACAAAAGATAAACTTGCTCCTAGATCTAGCAAAGCATAAACATTAAGAGTAAAGACTTTGATCATACCAGTGACAACATCTGGAGAGTTCTCTTGCTCTTAGCGACTAGTGATCGCATAAAGGTGGTATGTTCCTCCGCCAGTACGGGAAGTAGCTCCTTTAGGTGAACCATGTCTGGTGGAGCGACTGATGAAGATTGGGCCCTATTGCCATGATTCCCATTACCTTGCCGATTCTTAGGGCACTCTTTCATGAAGTGACACTCTTGTCCACACTTGAAACAACTTGTGGAACCATTGCAACATTTACCTAGGTGGGTTCTACCACACTTAGCACATGCAGGATCCTAGTTACCTCCTTGTGCCACACTACCCTAAGATTGGGTAGGTCTAGCTTTAAAATATTGTGAATTCTGACTATTGTACTCACCTTTGTTTCTGGGTGCAGGTGCACTAGAAGATGATGGAGCGGTCCCTTTTGCTTTTGTTGGGAAGAAGACCGGTTCACATTATTTCTTTGCTGCTCGGACTCATTCTCAGACGTCTTTGCCTTTTTGTTTCTGAATTCCTATCTATCCCTCAGCTTCTCCTCCTCAACCTATTGCACATAGACCATTAACCTTGATATATCCATGTCCCCAATTAGCATCGCTGCCCTGCCCTCTTTGCTTGATAGACGGGACAACCCAACAATAAACAGGCTCATCCTGCTTCTTATATCCGCAACCATCTACGGAGAATATCGGGACAATTGGGTGAATCTCAAATCATACTCATGGACACTTAGTGAATCCTGCTTAAGGGTAAGAAATTATCGTACCTTAGCCTCTTTCAGTTTGTGGGGGAAGAAACGCCCCTAGAAGGTCTTCTCAAAACATGCCCAACTAGTAGGTAGTGCTTCCTCAGCTCTACCTTTCTCTGGTCAAACCAAGTCCTGCCAACATCCTTCAGTTGATATACAGCTAGTTCCACTCGCTCAGCATCGGCAACATGCGTAACCTCAAATATCTATTTCAGCTCCTCAATAAATTTCTCTGGATTCTCAGTAGTGCTTGAACTAGTGAAACTTGGAGGATCCATCCTCAAGAACTCACGAATCCTCGAAGTATCATTCCCTTCCTGTCGGTTCTCTCTCTACCCTACTTGGTTGGTCACAGCTTGACTCAACATTCTTATCAATTCCCTAAACTCAGCATTGGTAACTTCTCATTAGGGTTGCACTTCAGGTGCATTGGGTAACCCTTGCTCCTCAACATTACGCCTAGCAAGACGACCTCTGACAGCTCTTCGTGGAGGCATGATTAACTAAAAAACACGCGCAAGCACGAATTGGAAGAAACTTTTTAAAGATCAAACTCTAACGCACGAAATGAGTATGAAAGAAGTGAGAACATTTCCTAAGTGTCGCAGCCTCCTAATTATAGATGTGGCGCGCTTCACACCGATAACTAGGACTCTACTGACACGGCTTCATAGACTCCTTAGGACTCTTGAACTCTGGGCTCTAATACCAAGTTTGTCACTCCTCGAGCCTACACCCTGGGAGGGACTGGTACTCGAGAACGATTGCTATCCTCAGGTAAACCCTTGTCCTGGCTTACTTACTCAACGGAAGACTCTAAGCATTATTACAATGATCAAATGCATTTCTACTCAACTGTTTAATAAAATAACTTAGAACATTTAAAGGTCAAACATTCCACTTGGCCAAAGTGGCAACTTAAGTCTTAACATAAGAAATAACAATGTAAAGACAATTGAAATACTAACTGTCTATGAAGCCTCTAAAACAATGAGGGAGGTCGGGACAAGACCCCGATCATCCTAACAATGAAATACTAAAAGCAAATGATAAAAGGGGCCATCAGGGAAGTTAGGAGGCTCACCAACAGACTCTGAGTGCTCAACTGGATCAACGAGGCGCTGGATTATGATCATGGTTACCTGTCTCTACATCAGAAGACGATGCAGGCCAAATGGCATCAGTACATTGAATGTACGGGTATACAAGGGGAAAACTAAGCATAACATAATCTTGAAAGGAATCTGAAAGAAACACTTACATTGGCTTTACTAAACTCATGAATGACTTAAATCAAAATAAAGTAGTAAAACATATGCAATATATGGAAAACTTGTAAAACAGTGGAAAACAACTTAGTTCGTTAAAGAAAATGCAATAACAAACTCAACTTTACACATAATAAAGTAATATAGTTTCTGTGGGAGTTTCTTGTCACAACCCAGAGGGACCCCCTAGACGTAACATGGCATACTTGACCCCGAAGGGGTCTCATTCAAACCCTTAGCATAATCATAACATAAGATACTAGAAAAGTACGGGAAATTTAAAACTTATTTAAAGTCATACGATCTAAAACCTTTTCATAAAGCAAGCGAAAGTATTTATAAACTTTCGCCTCGAACCATCTATTAAACTCATGAATAAAAGTCTTGGGACGCACCCCATACAAATTCTAAAAACATAAAGAAATGACATAAGGGAATAATGGTTATGTCCTTGAAGCTCTGAGGACTCACCAATTTTTCAACTCTTCTTGCACCTTAAAAACCTAGCCTTCAAGCAACCCAATCTCCGAAACCCTACATTTGATTAGAATGTAGGCAATATGCGTTAGTACAAAATGTACCAAGTATGAAAGGTAGCACAACATCATAAGAGCATCTCAAAATAATTAGTCAACATAAGACATAAGCATAAGAGATAATAACATAATCATAGCATAATTTCCAACAGAAGCATCATATAATCACAAGTAAACATAAGACATAATGAATGAGTATAGGAGATAAATCATGTTCATGGCATAGTCCTTACTTAGACTTTCATATTTACATACTTCAAACTTTGGTCTATCATATTACACGAGAACTACTTCACAAGCCACCACAAAGTATACATGTGCAAGGCAAGAATAGAATCCCATAATACCATCCAAGCTAAGTACCTATTTTTGGCCATTCTTCGTCATAGTCCACATTCATAGTCAAGACCTAGGTTTTCATGTCATTAAAGAACTTATACTCCTAAGTAACCTCAAGGTACACTTGTGCAATGCATGAGATGGCATGCCATAATACCACTCACACTAAGCATATTCTTGAAGTCACTCTATTCATGCTTTCTATTCATAGGGGTCACTATTGACCTACTTCATATGGACAAGGAACTATCAACTTAAGTCAACATATCATGGAAGGCAACTATAGCACAGTCCTATCATAACTCATAAGAACTATTTCGTGAATGACCCTAAGTCATACTTGTGCAATGCATGAATAGAATCCCATAATACTATTCATGCTAAGTACTACTTTTAGGTCCTCATACTACAACTTCTTGGTTTATAACTTAGTTCCTCTCTTTATCTTTAGAATACTATAAGGTACTCTCCTAAGCCTATCTTAGTTCATTATTAGATTAAACCTTATGAGATACTACTCTAAGCACGTGTAAGTTCATCA